CACACACACACACACATACACACACACACACACACACACACACACACACACACACACACACACACACACACACACACACACACACACAATCGCACACGGAACTGTCCCTCGTCCTACTTAATGTCCCTCTTTCCTGAAATCCCCATCGACAGTGCGGCTGGGTCGGGTGCCCACTTTCTAAATATATCCTTGACCTTTTCGCGGAGTCATTGTTTGCCTAAATTGAAACCGTAACATGAGCAAGAAAGTCCATGTTCATGGCAGCGCCAAAAAGGAAGGTGAACGAGTGTGCTTCGTCTTCTTTATTCCTATACTGCAGGAATAACGCCACTGTAAACACTGGAGATTTTATTAAAAACGCTGGGTTCCCAATGTTATTTCTTTTAAATTCTATATCTTATTGGATGGTAGCCGCTGTGTCTAGTATGGTGAGGTGTATGCTAAGGCTTTTACGTTGCTGATAGTCACTTCTTCTATATAATATATCAAACATCCGGCGGGATTTACGAATTTTACGTCCACTTCCGACAAGATTGATACTCTGTCCAATACGGTAAGATATGATAAGGCTTTATTAACCGATACAGGAAGATGTGTGATTTTTTTTTTTTTTAATCTAACGTCCATTATTTGGAAGGGTCGTTTCTGTATTTAGCAACAATAAAACTTTAAAAGGCTTTAACGCTACTGTAAACGCTGTTAATAATATTGGAATGTCAGACATCTGAACTTAACGTACATTTTCGATACGATAATTTATGTGTCACATATATTTTCTTTTTGTTTTCGGTAAGTGTTTTACGGCGCTCGCAACTGCATAAGGTCATATGAGCGCGCGGGATACATTAAACTTTTTCATACGGTAGGAAATTTTGAATTTTCCCCGGGTGGCGGCCGAAGCCTACTCTTACGCTTTTCGACCGCCAAGGGATCTTTAACGTGCACAACTTGCACACTGGACCTCCAAAAATTTTTGCCCTTATCCGAGAAGGCTAGATCTAAGTGTAGATCTTTCCTACCAGAAGATCAGGGGTGGGGCTGAAAAAATGCAGTAAGGTTTTAGTTTTAGTAGAGGGTTTACGGCGCTCGCAACTGCTTAAGATCATGAGCGCCCAGTAAGAAGGAGCCAAGGAGTAGCAGTAGAAAGGCTGCGGAAAGAGTCAGGATCAAGCCCAGAAGAGGGGTAAAGGAGGTGAGGGGGTTAGGGCAGAAAGTGGAGACGAAAGTACTAAAGTAGACGACAGAACATTGCTAGAGAGCAGGGAAGGAGGTGAAAGGAGACAATTTCAGATAAGAAAATTTTTCTGTCGCTACCCGGACTCGAACCCGGAATCTTTGAATGAGAGCCAAACATCTTAACCTCTAGGCCACGAGAACCCTCACATGTTCGGTAAGCTTTCAATAAACAACAAAAGAGATCAATCTCAGAGTAGAGGAGAGAATTGTAGGTTTATTTGAGCAAAGAGAAGCATATTGACACAATGAAGGTCATTAAGTACTATAATGTACTGTAAGAGAGAAAAAATGGTGAAAATGGTAG